AACGGTAGGTTTGATAGTATACGTGGTTTTTTTTAACAAATGATTCAAAAGGTGAAATGAAACATATGGAAATAACTAACAGTATTCAAGATCAAACGTCCATAAAACAATACAAAAAATGAGTATAGCAAACATGGATCTCAAAGCATCTATGTTGGATCAAGTGCAATGAGCATCCCCTGCTGACCGGTCACAGCGTGTGATCCTTGTCATGATCGGGAAATAAGGTAAACTCGGTGTCGTCAATTCAATGCATAAATAATGGACTAAAAATTAGCATGAAAAACGTCAGTCAGCACTTGAGTCAACGATAAATTGTATTTGCTGATAAGTCATTTTTTCCACCTTAGAACTTACAAAATGATAAGTTTAAAGAAGACTGCTGATATTCTTGTTTAATCAACTTGACTGTCAATAATTACCCTCGTTTGTGATTTTGTTCATACGTACAGCATGTCCTTGCATTTCGAATCAACTGAGATATATAAGCTCCATATGCAGGTGATGGAGTGATGGAGGCATATTGCTGCATCAGTAAGGGAAGTTGACGATAGAAAAGTTGAATTCATCACGTTTATCCAAGAGCTTGGTTGTTTGAATCCCATTAACGTTTTATTTTTTAGGAATATCCAAATATTAAGACAGATGTTTCAGACTCTGTTGTATCTTTTATCTCAAGCTCACTAGGATACATCGTATACCAACTTATGATTTGAAATTACCATGATTATTAATTGACAACACGTCACGTCGATCTATCGAAATGTCGAGCTGAAGGCCACAACAACAGATTTTGTCAATGAGAAACTCAAGCATATTTATTTTTTATCAACTTCTGAGTTCTTGTAAATGTTATTTAAACAAAATAATCATGAAAATGTCAATGACAATGTAAGTAAATTTACGAGTTCCTTATTCAATGGAAAAGCAGCTGTCTATGATAGCAAAAAATCCTGGAGTTTAACTCATTGTTGGGAATGGTTGTGTAAAGTTGAAAAGTCGTAAGTTTTAATCTTGTAATTTCATATTGTCAAACAGACAATGAATAGTCCAATCCACACTTTTCAAAAGTTATGTCCCTTGACCGCCATCTTAGGGGATAAACCCATAAAATCCACACAGTAGCCTTTGTAGTTTTTAGGTTTGTAACTTCGTCATTTGACTTTAAAAAGCTCTGCTTTTTGTGTACTGATTGCCCCAAGATGGGGCTGCCCACACATTGAAAGAAAAAAATTAAACACAATGGATTTATCACAGCACGCCCAAATATTTGGTAGCATAAAGAGGAAAAATGACGTTTCTTTCCCTTTTGACCTTTTGGTTGACCCCGCAAAGGGAAACAACTTTTGCAAAGTGTGGATTGAACTATTAAATTCAACTTACGTTGAAGCTTAAATCAAATGAAGCGATACTCTATTTGCACTCAACAAGAATGTCATGTCTAGGATTGTCTCTGCTAACTCCATCACAAGGCAAAGTGGTACTGTAATTTACTAACAATAAATTAAAACTCAGTAATTACATTTTGGTTATTTTTAGCATGTAAAAAATCTGTTGAGGGATTAAAAAAATTGAAACCATCACGATTTTAGTTCTAATAGAATTCGTTGTTAATTGTAAATATAAGTTGTAAATTTACTGTCCGATATTTTTAGTATGATTTAAAAATAAATATGTTTTACCTCGACCATTTATCTTCTTCTGTACAACATAAATGTCTGCTTCTACTATTCCGAATTCATGTTTAATTACATAATGAGGCCTTGCAGATAGATTCAAAGAAGCGGACCCTAAAATCGACTGAAAGGTGAAGTTTATTGTGTTAAAGTCTCTTCGATTAGTCCAGAAAACCTCCGTATTCCCTTTGTTTATGGCTAAATCAACCGTCTTGTTGAATATTAGCATGTTCTCCGTCTGACTGTTAAAACCAAATTTTATTGTACTCTGTTCGATTGCTGGATAGTAGTATTCGGGACTGCTGGGAACTGTTTTTAAAATTTAATAAAAGGCAATGGTTAAAACATTTTATTAGTACCGCACATGTATATTATTCAGATTGGAGCTTCCGCATTTGCATTTTTAAAACTCCAAAAAGGTGCATTTATAAATTTAATGAATGTATGAAAAATCTTTAAAACTCACAGTTAAGGCAGTTTCCTATCCCTTTTGAGTTTTGTGGGGAGAAATTATTCAAACACTGGCAGGTGTTATCTCCCTTGCAGTATCCAGGAAAACAAGGTCGTAAGTGAGTGCATGTGCAGACCGAAAAAAAAATGAATTTTACTATTGTCAATGTTTAAAGCTTCGCGATAGATTTCAATTCACTTTATGTGCAGGAAACAAGTATACAATGGCAATATTTAGCTGTAAAAGTCAATATAGTATATAAGCGTGATCGCTATAAAAGTATATACATGTACTGCATTTCATTCTGCTTGAAGTATCAGTGACAAAAATTCTTATTTAATGTTCAATCAATAAAGCCTTGCTTGAATGTCCGCTATGAATTTGTCTGAAATTGATACCTTTTTCCAAGAGAGAGAGAGAGAGAGAGAGAGAGAGAGAGAGAGAGAGAGAGAGAGAGAGAGAGAGAGAGGTATTAACGAGACCCATTTCCGTTACGAGTGCAGGTTTTATTGACTCTTTAGCACAACAGGTCCACTTTTATTGTTCAGAGAACTTACATTTTGTTCTTAAGTGAAACTTTCATTAATAATAATAATAATTTTAAATCAATTAGTATGCACACAATGGAATAATGAATCAATTATGTCATAATAATTTCTTTTTATTTAACAATAATTCTAAGGATATAGCAATGCATTTAAACTCAAAACAAAAATCAAACGATATAAGTTGGCACTTTTCTAGCAAAGTAACTTCGATTTTATATTCATAAAATTATGATGTAAACTTAAATAGTTAAGCTGTGGTAACCCTGACCTGCGAGACAGTAGTTTCCTACATATCCTGGGTTACATTTACATCTGTTGGGAGCCTCACATTCTCCATTCCCTCCGCAATTATAACGACAAATTGCTAAGAAGTAAAATACAATTGTCAGTTAAGTCTGTTAAATCGGTCCTACAATCTTTGATATCATAGACTAAGAAAACATTAGTTGAATTTTTTTTGAAATAAGAATATAATTGACTTTCCAATACTTGCCTATATTACAGTTATTGTTCCCGTTATGTCTCCAACCAGAGCAACAGAAGTATTCCCTCACTTTATATTTTCCAGTTATCCAGTCCCTCTTTTCGCAGCTGATATAAAGAACAAATTTGGTAAATGTATACACAATTATTATTAACAACGTTTTTAAAATTGAAATATGGAATGGTAATCATGAAGGAGATACAAAATCATGAGACAATAATAATGATATACTATACGATTAACAGAAAATAAGGTTCGGATTTAATGAACTAGAACCTTAAAGCAACCGCATTCATTTATAGTTTAAAATTTTCTCTCTTTCCGAAAAAGAAACACTCAAGTTCTATCTGTTTCAGAAAAAATAGATTTTTTAAGTAAAAAAAATATTTATGCTCCAGAATTAAAAAAAACAACCTGCCTATAATGCACGTGCGAAGTAATTAGCCTTGCTTTAATCGTGCAAATTAGATTTTATGAGTGGAAAGCTTGTAAAAGAAATATGTGGAGAGATATTCATTTTTTTTTAGGAGCAGATAATTATTCATTATTTTACAATTTAAACGCAAGACATAGGGTAGAATAGAAAAGAAAACACTTGAAATAGGAACATTTGTTAAACAGAGATAGTCGATAATATTCATAGGGCAATATCTAATATTTTATTTGTACACATATACACTTTTGCTTTCCCTTACACAGATAAAAACAATATCAATGATGAAATTACCTCAGCCAGGTCCAATACATGCATGTCCTTACCAAGCGATTTTTCAATAGGGTTTTGTAGCATACGTTTCTGAAATGATAAAATAAAAGAAGACTAATTCTTAAAAGAAAATCAACAGCAGCGGTATTATAAAGTTACACAGTGAGTCAAAACCATGTGTTTCTTTTAAGATATTTGTATCATACAGAGAAAGATGTATGAATATTATGGGTATGTAGCGAAGATATGGCAACTACACTGCACTGTAAAGCAAGAAAAGACTGCACAATATAAGTGCCGGATAAGCAAAGGTTGTATCTACCGTTTCGTTGTTTTGGTGTATGTCAAGGTCACGCCACTTTTATTTTTAGCTTAAACTTGTAAACAACATTCAACTGGAACATGCAAAAGTGAGAAATATGTTCTAACAACTTTCTGAAAACATTGTATCTAAATTTTTAGACTACCTACTTTCAATTTTTGTTCTCCAGTGTGATTTTACGAGTTCACTAAAGCTAGTTTTTTTTGCACAAACCCATAACCTTATGTAGACCATATCACATCCTTATTACAACACCAAGGTTATATACATTTGCTAATGACTGATATTAACGTGTAAATTAGAATGTAAGTTAAAAGAGGAGCTCAAAACATGTCGAAACAATGCAATTAAAAAGACAATCTTTAGTACCGCAATACTTTAAACCCTAACTATCAACCTCTTAAACATAAATGGTTAACAATATATGTCTACCATACATGATATTCTCGAAACATCAGTTGACAACTTCTGACCTGAAGGTTGAACTTTACGTAATATACAATTCATGATAATCTTCAGCAGACAACTTTTGGCCTGAAAGTTGAACTTCACCAAACCTACAGTTCATGATAAACTTCAGCAGACAACTTCTGGCCTGGAGGTTTAATTTTAACTATGCGTTCAAAAAATCAGCAACCATCTTTTGAAGACATTATTACTATCTGAACGTTTTGGTAAGATTTTTACAGATAATCCGTTTCCTCGGAGATCATCCTCGTCTAATACAGAGTCTATATCATTCAAATACCGTATCGCCAAAGC